TGACTGTCCACAGCATTTGTGGCCTTGGTCAGGTCACGGACCTCTTTCTGTCTAGCTTTTCCAGCCCTTACCTTCTGCCCTTTTTACGTGGATTTAGAGGCAGGAACTCTCCTTCTATGGCACTTGCCAGAGTCTCAGTAAAGCCTCTAGCGGCTATTCCATAAAGCAGACCAGACCTGAAGCTACATGAACTATACCACATCACATGAAACCATCACTGCTACTGTCTTCAGGCCGACTTTCAGTGTATTTGACATACTGAAGTGTTAAACTAAAGAAAAATAAAAGAAAAAACACCACTGTCTTTCTTAAGATGAAGGCAGTGCCATGGATTCTGGTAAGCCCTACCCTGCTCAATAAAGAAGTTGTAGGATATTTGCTGTACAGGCATGCAGGTAAAATTAATCTTATTATCAGAAGGTCCTACAGCAGAAAAGCTGCAGTACTGTAGTGATGGGAAAGAGACAGCAGGGAGAATTATCTGCCCTGCTTGGCATGGGGGAGCCAACAGTACTGCACTGGTATCAGCAGGTTCTCCAGTTATGTAAGTCCAGCTGCAACTCTGGCTTTTGCCAGCTGACACAGTTACAGCAGTGCTTTAGTGCATCTACGTCAACACTTTCACAGCAGCCAGATTACTTTGATATTTCTCTTTCCTGGAAGGAAGAGCTTAGGATGGATGGATGTTTCATCATGACCAGGAGACAAAAACGCGCTGACCAGATGCCAACTGGTAAACACCAAAGCACCCACAGTGCCCAGCAGCCCCATGCAGTGGGACCCCCCAGCTGTGCAAACAGAAGAGTATTGCTCCAAAGGGCAAACTGGAAGTGTATACAAAGAAAAGCAGAGGATGTAGCAACACTGAAGGACTTTTTTGTTTCAACGTATTTACTGTGGGGGGCTTGAGATTGTTTTATGCAAAATAATTAAGGCTTTTTAGTGGAAGAGCAAAACTGAATCTGCCACGGGGAATAACAGAAGCTGTAGAAGCAATACATTTTTCAGCTGGGGTAGTCAAAACTCATTTCATTGTAGAGTACAAGTTCAGTTCAGTTAGATCTAGTCTGACGACAAACCATACAACTGCTTTTGTATAAGTGTTGCTTTATATAATTGCCCAGATTAAGAAGGACGTAGCCATGCGCAGTGAGCAGACGCTGCTGCCATGGAGCCACCTGTGCTGAGGCCCATCCCACCAGTAGCTTGCATGGAGGCTTGTTCCATACTGTTCCCCTCTTCCAGTGACCAGGCCACCCGTTAACATTTCCTAAAGATTTTTAACTTACATAGTTACAGCTATGAGAACTTTGTAACATTTATGATTACTGCAATAGTTGGAGTTTGATATCTTTTACATAATCCTTCCATTACATTCTCCTTCGTTTGCTATAACCCACTTATATATATTAATACATATAAATCTCCAAACTCACCTTTCTTAAAAGCTCATTTCTATGCTGGCAAAGGCCTCAGCTCAGCTGCTGGAGAAGCAAGAGGTCCCCAGTGGAGCCTTGTGACCATTTAGGTAGCCCCTCTGATCACTGCCTTGCCTGTTACAGCCACATGAGAAAGACAAGATTGAGTAGCGACAAAGATTGAAGCAACCCCTGTCAGGGTGGACTGCACATTAGGAGATTTTAAATACTGTGAAAAGCTTGTGTTTCAAAGTACCATCAGCCACATGTCTCCATAAGCACTACAGCCGTTCCGTTTCTGCTGCCGGGGGTGGGGAAACTTTTATTAACAAGTGCTGCTATGAACCACTCAAAAACTTAAGTTTAGCTAGATTTTTCCTGCTATTCATAGCAGGTCATACTCAGAGAGACCCACACAGACCTTTACTAGAAGAAAGCTCTGCTATCCCAACATAAGTAAATCTACTTTAACAACAAACATATAGGTAACCCACACAGTGTCAACCAGTCTGATCTATGCTGCTTGTGTGGATGGGCTGACCCACTGGGGAAGTGGAGTTTTACCACATGACTCAGAAGGTGATTAAATAAATCTCACACACACACAGACTGCAGGAATTATGCTCCAGTCTATCCAAAAGCACAAAAGGCCTCATTTCAGGATCAGGACCATCAAGCACACTTGCATGTACTATCATGTTTTTCTCGAAGGTAACAGCAAGTGGGAAGGAAGTTGGAAGGAACAGGACTGCACAAACTACTTTATAAAAACAGAACTGACTTTTTCCAAAACACTGAGACAAAGTTGCATTCCTAGACTGGAGCAAATCTACCAAAATTTGAACTGAACAGCCCCTGGAAGTATCCCCACCACCAGCACCAGGCATAGAGCTTTAAGTGCAGCCACTGGGCCAGACCCTCCTCTCCACTGTGAGTGTAGCAAGCTAGTCAGAGACAGAAGGAACTGACATCTCCACATCAACAACTTCAAATCCCCAAACAGACCCTCTGGGCTTTAAAGTGAAATACTTGAACCTTCCAGCTACCTTCTTTGGACAAAAGCTCTTCCCCAGATGGGCCTAGACTAGCGTAGCATGATGGAGCTCTCTCCCTTGGCCCCTCGTCACCTTCCTCCATCATAGCAGCAGTGTCACCCCAGCTGGAACCCATTCTGCAAGTGTACATAATACCTATGGCAAGTAGTCTTTCAACATTTACAATTCATATTCATGATTATTTCAAGTGCCACACAGGAACGTGACACTAAAAAACCACCAGGTCCTTCTTGTGTTTTGTACTTAGCTTTTTCTCATCGTCAGGAGATTTATGAATTTAATCTCCATTTTATAGAACTTAACAATTTTAACAGCTAGAAGAAGAAAATGCTAAATTGTTTTTATTGCTGTTAGATGTTCAAAGACATCCTGCTACATACTGACATTTACATTTCACATTAAAAGTGAAATACATTGGGAATGTGCAAGTATTTGTTTTAATTTGACCCATCTGTTAAATGAAAAACAAAGAGGACTTCTAAATCACTATATATAAATTCAGCAATTTGTAACCAATCTATATGTTCATTTCTTCTGAGTCAAAACTTCCCTAAAGCATCACTCTTATGAAATCTCCAAATTAAATTGTTTTGCATTGTTCTTAAGGATGCAGGCCACAGTTTCTTCCTCCTCAGTTTATTATTTCCCAACCCAAGTAAATTAGCAAGACTTGTATTAAAAATCTTGCCACTGAAATGGTTTTGGAGAATTCACAGAAGTATCTACTGGCTCCAGAAAGCTAGAGCACAGAGGAAGTGTCACATATTGACAGCAAATTCCCTTAAGATAAAGCAAAAGCCAATTGCCTTCGCTTAGCTTTTAACACTCCTGCAAGCAGCACTAGGTCAGCCCTATTCCATGCTAAACCATCACCAAGAAAGAACAATAATCAAGAAGGGGAAGAAAAGCTAAGGCAATTTACCTTCACCTCTCAACCTAGCTAGAACTTGCTACAGGATTCTGATCTTACACTGAGCTTTAACGCAGATCTGGATGATAATTTTACGAGGGGAGAGAGATCCACAGACATTTAAGGATCCTGCAGCAGCACTGAGAGCACAGCCTTATTTCTTTTTTCACTCTGTGCAACATGCTGTATTAAGCATTTGCTGCTAAGCTTCTACCCCAGAAATCAGTACTTTCAGTGAAGTAAGGATAGCAAAAGCCCTTTTAATCACCCAGGTATGTGACCTCCCATCCCCCAGAGATGATTTCTTGCATTGCAAAAGACAATTTCTTTATTAGGTGTACATTCTGAGGATAAGGAAAAGCTCTGTACAGCTTGGAGCATCACATGTCCCATTTGAAACCTTTTTCAGTAGCAGCTCCACCTTTTCCCCAAACATTTAATTCATATGCCTAGTCTGTATGACAAGTGTTCACTATGTTCCCAGCTCTAGCACAGGTGGAGCAGAAAAGGAGCCGGATGCAACCTGGGCTCATTAGCCTGCAGCTTCATATCACAGCCATGCATGCAAAAGCAAGACTAGAAAAGGAACCAGAGAATGCTCAAAAAAAAAAAGAGTCAAAATATCTTATCTACATAAAGCTAGAAGTGGACAGACCCACAAGTTTCAATTCTGCCTCTGCAATATCAAGCACAACACTAAAAAGGCATCACTGAAATACTAGGTCTACTCTGCATAGATGGCTCATTTATTATATCCAGTATCATATTAAGCAACCCAACAAAACAAGAACTAGCAGTAATGCAGCCAGGGCATGATTAAGGGTGCTTCTAAGAGCATCAACAAACGTGGAGACTGCATGGATCACAGCCCAGAAAGATTCAAGTTGGTAAAATGACAGCTTGATTAGTTTTTGCCTGACAAATGTGGCAAGAGAGATCAGAATGAAACATAATTCCAAGGCCTTCAAATAAAACCAGGCAAAAAAAAATCTGAAGAGGGCAACAGCAATTTGCAAGACCAAATCAATTCTCCAGCACAGCTTTCTTAATGCCTGGATGCAACACATCCACAGCCACAATCGCTGAAACTATGTACGTACCCTCCAGGGAGCATCCTGAATTAACAGGGACATGCCCTGTGGGTGGGACAAACTTCAGATCTTGCAAGACACTCTTCCCTCCTATCAAGAGCCTTTAATAAGTATACACGTATTTGTAATTTAATGGGAAAACATACAAGTAGAGCTACTTTATATACAGGCAACCATTGCCTATTGTTACCCCAAAGACCAAGCAGCATCACCCTATTATCCATATTGCTGCATGTAGGAATGCAGGATAATCAAACAACATAAAAAGCGGAGAGCAAATTGAATTTTCCTTCTTATTCACTCCCACCTGTTCTAACAGCAAAAAGAATGAGTCAAAACCACACAGGTAAATCAGTTTCTTAAAAACATATTATTGCAACCAAAGCATTTCTCTCCATCATTTTGCCTCAGTTTTAAAACATATATCCCCCATCTGGGGAAACCTGGTGATCTAAAACGGAGGCTTCTGAGCTTCCCTCCCATGTGGAAAGGGGGGAGGGGAGGCAGAGTAACACAGAGCTCTTACCCAGGAATAAAATGATCTGTCTCCTGGAGCTCTTGCCCTCTGAGCTCTCACTTTTTCTTAGGTACTGCTCCTGGTGTTTTAGTCCACCCTTCACTGCCACAGTTCCTTCCTTGTGGATCATCAGGGTCTTCATCATGCTGTGGCACATGAACGTGACAGATCCAAGAACTATGATATACACAGCAAAGGCACTGAAGATGCTGGCCTGAAAGACAGACCACTTGGAGGAGAGGCTGGTACAGATGGTCATATTGTGTTTCAGATCAGGAAGGTGGTGCCTGGACATAGGCTTGTCACAGGCAGTCATACCTTGGTAGCCCTCAATAGCTTCCAAGGGGTATTCTGTGCCCATGGCAAAGAGCAGAGGCAGAGCTACTATGACAGACATCCCCCAGACAAAAGCGATGAGCAGCTTCACCTTGCGGGGTCCAGAGACAGCCTTGAACTTAAAGGGGTGGCAGATAGCCACATACCTCTCAAAGCTGAGGGTGGCAACATGCAGCACAGTGGCATAACTGCAGGCTTCAAAGAGGAAGTAGTAGAGCTTGCAAGCCACATTGCCATTGGGAGTAGAAAAGGGGCTCCAGATGGCACTGAAGAACTCCATGGGCATACCCAGCAGGATGACCAGCAGATCAGAGCAGGCCAGGCTCACCATGTGGTCTGTGACCTCTTTCTGCAGGTAGCCCTTCTTCTGCAGGATCCTGGTGGCCTTGATGGTGATGCTGTTGCCCAGGATGCCCGCAACGAAGATGCAGACATACACAGAGGCCAAAGTGATCTTAATCCAAGGAGACACTTCAAACTCAGGGATGTGGCTGTGGTCAATGAGATCAGAACAGTCTGAAGAGGATGTTTGTCCTGCCATGAGAAGCCCCTTGGGGGGGAAGAAGAGAGAGAAAAAGCCTTCTGCCCAACCTGATGTTCAGATTCACAGCAAATGGATCCTTCCTTGCTTTGCTTCTCTCACTGCAATGCACAGGTTAGAGCAGTCAGGCACAACAAACCTGTCTCAACTAGCCACACCTGTGGGTTTTGTTAGTGACAGCCACTGAGTCAGTGAGCCAAGCACGAAAGTGTTTCAGATCTTACCTATCTCTATGGCAAACATCTCCTGCTCCTTTCAGATTCTTCTCCTTTCTCTAATGAAGCTGCCGTACTCCAGCCCTCTGCGGTCTGAACTGCTCTTCTTTCAACATTTGCCTCTTCCTCTGCAAGCAAAGGCAGCTTTTGGTCCCTGCCCCAGGAGGAGGAAGTCAGAGTTTCTGCGTGGTTATAGCTTCTCTGTTAACCATTAACCTAAATCTTGGCACAAGCCACCCATGTTTGAAATGCACTTCCTGTAATAAGAGCTCCTTCTCAGGGATAGATTAGGTTGGTGGGGTCAGGCTGAATATTAACTGGGCTTCAGACTTCCATATGCCAACATGCTTCACTACTTTACCTTTCCTTTAATGAAGACCTCGGTATCTGCCACACCATTATTTGCTACACAGCTTGTGCAGCCAAGGACTGATTTACATCATCAGGAGCTTCTGGTTTTCAGTTGCTGCCGATGAACTGGTAGCTTCTTAAAATAAATGGTTAGACTCTAAAGAGACTTCTCATAAGTTATAAAATAAGATGAGCTCCAGATTTAGACACATCCATTGTCTCCCTTTTTCTATCTTTTTGTGTTAGATAGCAAAAAGAATAAAGTTAGTAAACCTGATAAAGTTTGTGCTTTCAAGTAATCCAGAGTAGCAGGGGCTGAAAATGGACTTCCTGCTCCTGTCTCACCCGAGGGAGAATGAATTTAACGCACTCTTTAGTTTTAGTTTCAAACCATCGCACTAAAGGCTCCCGAGGTAACCCCTGGAAGCATTTAATTAGAAGGTGTGTATATGGATTAGGAAACCTTTGCATTACAGTGCAAAATGGCAGAACAGCTTTTGCAGCTATAATCAAGAGAGAGGCCCATTACAGTGATCTGCTCCAATACCAAATCTAAGAACAGTGGGTTCACAAAGTGATTTCTATTAACTAGACAAGCACATGTGACACTTTCAGCTCATGATAAAAGAGAAACATTAGAAAGCAGTTATTAAGCAGTCTCCTCACATTCAGTGGTTATCACTGTACCTCAGCAGCCCAAGTATATAATGAACAAAAGATGCCCAACACAGGATAATCAGCACCTGTTTCTACGCATTATTTATACATTCCAGTTTCAGAAGAATCACCTCAAACCTTGCACAACTTCAAACCTGTAGTCCCAGTCATTTTTCCTTATGTTTGATAATTCACATTTGTTCTGCTCAGACAAGCTTTGTATTATTACCCAATTTCTTTCACTTAATTTTACTTTATAAAAGTGTGAACAAAGATTACATATGCATGACTGAATTGTGGAAATGAAGCTAATTAAAATTTGCTCCTTACTATCAAAAGGGAAAAAGGGAGAGAGAGAGCAAAAGAGAAAGAAGGCCCAATAGGATTACATTTCCCCCTTTTTCCACACCAATTATAAAATGCAGAACACAATTTTGCAGTTTTCAATATTATCTTTAGAATATACACAAAGTTTATTAACTTTCTAATAAAGAGCTGATGCCACAAAGGGGATAGGAAGGAAAGAGGCAATTGTGGATACTCATAGACTGAGACCACTAAAAAGAATTTTACATAAGTTACTGGACTATGTAAACCAGCAGTGAATATTTCAGAGATACATATAAAATCCCTATCATGGATGATTATAAAAAAAATACGTATCTTCCTGGAGGGAAACATTTCTTCCCAACTAAATGGGGAAGAAATTGTTGATGCCCCATCCCTGTAAGGATCCAAGGACAGACTGGACAGGGCTTTGAGAAACCTGGTTTCATGGAAGATGTCCATACCCATGGCAGTGGGATTGCAACTAGATGACCTTTAAGCTCCTTTCCAACTCAAAACCATTCTATGATTCTGTGATAAACGCGTTTAATGCGTCTTTGTGGCATGGAGGGAGAGAGCACATAGTCTTTACCCTGGTGGATGTTACCAGTTTATAAACTTATGATTTGTGTTACAGTCTAATTTTAGGGATTTCGTTTAGAGTTTTACTCAATATCCCGTAGCAGTGAGTACCACAAATTAATTTTTGTGTTGTTGCCTTTCCCTTAACTGTTATGAAAGTGAATGCTGCTTGTGTGATTGTACCTGGGAGAACACTACAGGGAGCCCCTCTAGATCCAGTTTGTGGCCATTGTGCACCATGACTTCAGCCCCCAACACTGAAGAGAAGTCATAGAATCATAGAATCATAGAACAGTTAGGGTTGGAAAGGACCTTAAGATCATCTAGATCCAAACCCCCTGCCATGGATAGGGACACCTGACACTAAACCATGCCACACAAGGCTTCATCCAGCCTGGCCTTGAACACTGCCAGGGATTCACAACCTCCCCGGGCAACCTATTCCAGTGCCTCACCACCCAAACAGGAAAGAATTTCCTCCTTATATCCAATCTATACTTCCCCTGTTTAAGTTTTAACCCGTTACCCCTTGTCCTATCACTACAGTCCCTAAAGAAGGGTCCCTCCCCAGCATCCTTATATCCTCCCTTCAGATACTGGAAGGCTGCTATGAGGTCTCCACACAGCCTTCTCTTCTCCAGGCTGAACAGCCCCAACTTTCTCAGCCAATCTTCAGACGGGAGGTGCTCCAGACCCCTGATCATTCTCGTGGCCCTCCTCTGGACTTGTTCCAACAGTTCCATGTCCTTTTTATGCTGAGGACACCAGAACTGCACACAGTACTCCAAGTGAGGTCTCACAAGAGCAGAGCAAAGGGGCAGGATCACCTCCTTTGACCTGCTGGTCACGCTCCTTTTGATGCAGCCCAGGATACTGTTGGCTTTCTGGGCTGTGAGCATGCACTGAAGCTGGCTCATGCTCATTTTCTCATTGACCAACACCCCCAAGTCCTTCTCCACAGGGCTGCTCTGAGTCTCTTCTCTGCCCAGCCTGTAGCTGTGCCTGGGATTGCTCTGACCCAGGTGTAGGACCTTGCACTTGGCATGGTTAAACTGCATAAGGTTGGCATCAGCCCACCTCACAAGCATGTCAAGGTCCCTCTGGATGGCATTCCTTCCCTCCAGCGTATCAACCAAACCACACAGCTTGGTGTCATCGGCAAACTTGCTGAGGGAGCACTCAATCCCACTGTCCATGTCAGCGACGAAGATGTCGAACAAGACAGGTCCCAAAACTGATCCCTGAGGGACACCACTCGTTACTGGCCTCCAGCTGGACCTTGAACCATTGACCACAACTCTTTGTGTGCGGCCATCCAGCCAGTTCTTTATCCACTGAGTGGTCCATTCATCAAATTGATGTCTCTCCAATTTAGAGACAAGGATGTCATGTGGGACAGTGTTGAATGCTTTTGCACAAGGGATAACAGGAAGGGATTCCACAGGTACATAGCAAAAAAAAAACAAATTAGGGAGAATGTAGGCCCCCTCAGGAAGCTCTCGGGTGAACTAGCTACACAGGACTTGGAGAAGGCTGAGGTTCTCAATGACTCGTGAAGAAGAAGTCATTGAAGAACCTAGCCTTCTCCAAATCCTGTGTAGCTAGTTCCCGATGAGCTTCCTGAGGGGCTACATTCTCCCTAATTTGTTTTTTTTTTTTTTTGGGGCTATGTACCTGTGGAATCCCTTCCTGTTATCCCTTGTGCAAAAGCATTCGACACTGTCCCACATGACATCCTTGTCTCTAAATTGGAGAGACATCAATTTGATGGATGGACCACTCAGTGGATAAAGAACTGGCTGGATGGCCGCACACAAAGAGTTGTGGTCAATGGCTCAAGGTCCAGCTGGAGACCAGTAACGAGTGGTGTCCCTCAGGGATCGGTGTTGGGACCAGTCTTGTTCAACATCTTCGTTGCTGACATGGACAGTGGGATTGAGTGCGCCCTCAGCAAGTTTGCCGATGACACCAAGCTGTGTGGTTCGGTTGATACGCTGGAGGGAAGGAATGCCATCCAGAGGGACCTTGACACGCTTGTGAGGTGGGCTGATGCCAACCTTATGCAGTTTAACCATGCCAAGTGCAAGGTCCTACACCTGGGTCAGAGCAATCCCAGGCACAGCTACAGGCAGGGCAGAGAAGAGACTCAGAGCAGCCCTGTGGAGAAGGACTTGGGGGTGCTGGTCGATGAGAAAATGAACATGAGCCAGCAGTGTGCGCTCGCAGCCCAGAAAGCCAACTGTATCCTGGGCTGCATCAAAAGGAGCGTGACCAGCAGGTCAAAGGAGGTGATCCTGCCCCTTTGCTCTGCTCTTGTGAGACCTCACTTGGAGTATTGTGTGCAGTTCTGGTGTCCTCAGCATAAAAAGGACATGGAACTGTTGGAACAAGTCCAGAGGAGGGCCATGAGGATGATGAGGGGTCTGGAGCACCTCCCGTCTGAAGATTGGCTGAGAAAGTTGGGGCTGTTCAGCCTGGAGAAGAGAAGGCTGTGTGGAGACCTCATAGCAGCCTTCCAGTATCTGAAGGGAGGATATAAGGATGCTGGGGAGGGACCCTTCTTTAGGGACTGTAGTGATAGGACAAGGGGTAACGGGTTAAAACTTAAACAGGGAAGATTGGATATAAGGAGGAAATTCTTTCCTGTTAGGGTGGTGAGGAACTGGAATAGGTTGCCCAAGGAGGTTGTGAATGTTCCATCCCTGGCAGTGTTCAAGGCCATGTTGGACGAGGCCTTGGGTGACATGGTTTAGAGCGAGGTGTCCCCATCCATGGCAGGGGGGTTGAAACTTGATGATCTTAAGGTCCTTTCCAACCCTAACCATTCTATGATTCTATGATTCTAAGTCCAGGTAGATGACATCAACTGCTCTACCGTTGTCCATCAGTTCTGTAGCCCCATCATAAAAGTCCACCTAATTGGTCAGGCAGGATTTCCCCTTAGTGAAGCCATGCTGGCTGTCACCAAGCACCTTGTTCTTTTTCATGTGCCTTAGCATGCCTTCCAGGAGAATCTGCTCCAAGATTTTGCCAGGCACAGAGGTGAGACTGACTGCTCTGTAATTCCCTAGGTCATCCATTTTCCCCTTATTGAAAATGGGGGTTATATTTCCCTTTTTCCAGTTGTCGGGAACTTTACCTGACTGCCATGATTTTTCAAATATGATGGCCAGCGGCTTAGCAACTTCATTCGCCAGCTCCTTCAGGATCCATGGATGGATTTCATCAGGTCCCATGGACTTGTGTAC